TGTGTGTGCGTGCGTGCGTGCGTGCGTGCGTGCTTGCATATGCCTGTTAATGTTTTTAACCCGTTATGGAAATCTGGGGTCATTTTGTAGAGCATTTTGAGTATCACTTTGTTTGAAAAGCGCTTTATAAATAAATCTGATATAAACTTCATTGTATTTATTCTAGGGAATCTATAATTAAATGGCTAAACTAGTAGTAGCACATTCAATGTCAAAGAAAATAAAATGTTATCAGGAGAGGGAGAATGTTTAAATGGTTAGCAACAGGGTTCAAGCCGATGGCCCCTCACACAAGCCCAAAAGACCCTCGGCTTGGAATAAACTCCCATCCTCAATTCACTTGACCACCTCTGTACAACACTTTAAATCTCTTCTCAAAACCGACTGATTTAGGCAGGTGTATGGTGTACTCTAGGGGATTTTATCGTTCTACGTGATTGTCAGTTTATTTCAGCGTTGTTCTATTGATGCTATTGTTATGTTAGTCTTTATTCACCATTTAATTTTGCACCGCTTGTACAATTTGTGAACTGCTTTTAATTCTGTTGTTCAGTGACCTTGAGGGTCTGAAAGGCGCTTACAAATAAAATTTATAATAATTATTATTATCCATTAGCGAATGTTTAGTTTTTGTAATAATTAAGCTAGAAATACAGCTTCAGCGGTTTCAGTATTAATTTAAGGAAATTATCTCAAGACCCTCTGCGCAGTTATGGTGACCCACAGTGGGGTCCCCACCCTAACTTTGGGAAGCACTGTTACAAAAGTTTACAATCTGTCAAAAATGAAAGATGACCTGCTTTAACCTCCTGTGACCCCCCATCCTCTTCAAGATGTTGACTTATTTTTAATTTATTCCACAGAAGAAACACTATAAAAGTTTAACATTAAAAAATTCCCCTCCTGTTTTCATTAATCATCTCAATTTGAGACCCTTTCATAAAATAAATGGTTTCATTCATGCAACAATCTGGTCAAAAGAAGATAAATCCACAGTCAAAAATAAAGATTATTGCAGGTTCAAGGAAGAGATGAGATCAAATGTATTCTAACTTTGTTACATGTCGCTCTACAAGCTGCTCAGGATAAAGGGGGAAAAACATGAAAAACAAAACCTGAAATCATGGATTTGGATTGCCATGTGGGACACATGAAATCCTCCACAGAAGTGGCCGTTACCACGGCAACACGTCAGGAACTAACACCACTGCATGTCCAAGCACATGGTGAAAAAACGGCCTGAAACCTGCTTACATAACCTGTGAAATCTGCGTGTTATGAACCTGATGACCTTCCTGCACATAAACACACACTCTCACACACACACACACACACACACACACACACACAATGCTGCTTTATTTCAACAAAGAGTCTTAAAACGATCTATTATTAATGAATCGGCCTGCAGTTGATTTAAACCAAATAAAAATGCTTCTATTCTGCAAAGATTTCAAGGTTGCAGAAGTCGGAGAGTTTTTGTTTCTGTCGGGGGGGGGGGGGGGGGGGGGTGCATTAAAGGAGGGTTTGGGTGAGGCAGCGGGAAGAGCAGAGGGGTGGGGTGGGCCTACCTGCTCCTCCACGCTGGGAAACAATCCATACTTTCAGCTGGCTGTCCTGTCCACAGGAGGCCAGGCGAATCTGCACACAGCAGCCTTCTGCAGAACAGAAGTAAACACATTTCTACACAACCAAAGCTCACTCATAAAGTTTATCCTAATTAAGTGTCAAACCAACAACTCACCAGCTTTAAACTGAGGTGCAAAGCTGAAGCAGCGGACTGCCCAGGGGGCTGGTGTGCACCTCTTTCACCTCCTGAAGATTGAGGTCTCCAGCCGGCCACAAACATCTGTCCACAGGGAGAAAACGGCTGGTCACAACACTGGCCTCGCTCACGTTAGTGCAGCTTTGGGAGAACAGTTGCTAAAAGTTGGAGTAAAAAGGATCAGGACTTGCTTTGCTGCAGATCTTTGTTTAATAAGATTCAATGAAAAACACCTGAGATGTAATTAGTGACACCCAGGAGGACCGAGGCTGTGTGAGCCATGACTTAAGAGGAATTAACATCCTCTTCTAATGTTTTCTATTTACAAACTAAAAGTCAAAATAGCATTTAAATTGTCCTGAAGTTACTTTATTTTTAAATACCAACTAAAGTTTGAAAGCCTTTGTGAATTGCATTATTATTATTTTACTTTGCTGTGGGTCTGGTGCGTTACAAAAGAGAAACGACACAAGTCTGTGCTGAAGAATCAGCAGAGAAACGTGCAGCAGCTGAGTGGTAACTCCATCTGCTGATCAGGGCTGTGAGATGTTGCCAAAAGTGACATTTTTCTAAAACTGGTTATCAAATTTCAACTTCAAGAGTTAGAAAAATAAATAAATCTTCATTTTGAAACTATATGTGCTTGATTAAATCTCTGCTTCACAGGTTTGTCCTAATTAGCTAATGAGCTACTACCTTTGCCATGTTCAATGAAACCTTAATGTAAAAGTTTACTTGTCAGAAACTGCAGAAATGAGGTAATTTGTACCAATTGTGACATATTTTGCAACAAATTTAGAAATTAGACGTTTTTTTAGTCGGAGTTGAGCACAAACTTGTCTTGTTTTCTGCTTGAGAAACATTCATTTTACTCCCTTTAGCTCTTGAGGGCTCACTAGGAAAAGCATTCTGCATGCCTGAGCAGCTTAAAATTCAGATTGTTAGAAAATACAAAAGGGAAAATAATCTGGACTCTTTTTCACCTCCATGGTGTATTTCTTAAACACCAAACTTATCCAAAAGGCTGAGACAGTTTAGGAGCTTGCTATCAGACATTTATCATGTTTTACAGAAGTAACATTAAATGATTGTGAAAGCTGCTCACAATAGTCAGGAGTGTTGTCTGCAGTTGCTGCCTACCTGAGCTGAGTCTTTGTAGAGAAGTCCTACACAGGCCTCGGCCAGGAGGAGTCCGGAGCCCTGAGCCAATCCACACACTCTGAGCAGAGTGAACAGCTGACCTCTGACCTTGTCTTTGTGGTGTCCAGTAGTGTGGATTAGAGTCATTAGTCATGTTGTCATGGATGTGCTGAGGGAGCAGGTTCATCACAAAGTGGTGCAAAAAAAAAAAAACACTCCAATATTTCAGGCAGAAGGACCAACAGGAACACTCCACCTCTTTGTAACCCTTAAATTTAAAGACCACAACTAATAGAATCGGTCTCCTTTCTGCACACCAATAAAACCAGTTATTGTCCTGTGCAGCAAGTTGAGTCATGACTGTGCACATTAGCCATAAAAAAATACATACAGTTTGACCATTCAACATCTGGTCAAAAAGGAGACACAAGACTGCGTGTGTCCCCTTTAAATTGGCCTGCCTTCATCCCATCAGCTGGAGCTCAGAGTCTCTGCAGCTCCTTAAGACCCCTTAAGAGTCGCAGACGCGCGGTTCCATCCTTCTGTTGTGACCTGGAGACAACTCTAAGACCGGTTTAGTGGGGCCGCAGTTTCTTCCACGGACCTCGGTGCCTGGAAGTCCAAGGATTTCGGCATTCCGGATCTATCACGAGGGTCTTCTGGGTATGTAGACATGACAGACTGCGTCTGATGTGTTTTGATAACAACCACCTTCATAGCTTAACGCAAACCAAATTCTTTTACATCCAGAACTCAGCTCTCCCAGATAAGGAAGTTCTGACTAACCGCATTCACGCATAGGTTCATACATCACCCTAAGTTCCACCCATCAGAGTAATTGTTGGTAAAATTAATTCTTACTTTTATAAACCTGACTGTTTTCTGAATCTAAACGAAGTGTGAACAATTCCTTAATAAAGAAAGAATTCTAGAATCTTCTGATAAACACAGTAAAGACCAAGCAGAGCTGATATTCTATACTTAAGAGTATCACAGCTTATTGGTCATAAGTAGAAGTAATATATATATATTGAGCTCTTAAAGCACTCAATTTGCCAAACCCTTCAGAACCGTGAAAATAAAATCGCACTGGAATGGATTTATTGTGCAACAGAACAGGTTCACTTTTTAGTTCTGATCCTGGACGTTACAGGTTCATTGAAGTGTCTTAGTTCTGTTTCTGAAAACGTAACTTATAGAATACTCACTCTGACTCAAACTCTACAGCTGTTGAGGCCAAGCAAATGAGTCCTGTGTCAGATTGTCAATAAGTTTTAAGTGCATGTTTGACATTACACTATAATCATGTATTTTGTGTAAATAAAGCTGACTAGGTAGTAACAGGACTTATCAAAAGCTGCATGAATGCCCACCAGAGATGGCAAATACAAGCGGCCGATCATCTCGATCGTCCAGGAGGGGCTCAGAGTAGATCCACTGCTCCTCCAGATCAAGAGGAGCCAATTGAGGTGGCTCGGGCATCTGGTTAGGATGCCTCCTAGAGACACCTCTCTGGGGAGGTTTTCTAGGCACGCCCAACTGGGAGGAGACCTAAAGGAAGACCCAGGACACGCTGGAGGGATTATGTCCCACAGCTGGCCAGGGAACGCTTTAGGATTCCTGTAGAGGAGCTGGCTGAAAATGGATGGATGTATAGATGGAGAATGAATGCCACCCTGTGTTGTCCTGTTTTTTTTTTTTACATATGTAGATGAAAAACAGTCCCACTGGAACCCTTCAGTCATATTTGAAATATTTTATCAGTTGTCACTATTCAGATTGTTTTCCTTTCTTTAGCTTGTTTTAATGGATAAACAAACAAACAAACATTAATATATGAGAAATACACGATACAATACTGCAGAATTTATTACAAAAAGTCAAAAGAAATCTTTGATTCTGGGTTCAAGATTAAATAATTTTAGTTAAAAACAAACAAAAAAAGAACTTTTGAAAATAGAAACCTTAAAAGTGCATTTTTTCTAGCACCACAGAGAACTTGACACTTGCTCTGCACAGCAGTTTTAATAAAACATGGTTTCATCTTTGAGACATAAGATGATGCTCAAACCTATAAAAAAGACAGACTAATATGTGAAATGTTTTATTTTAAAGTCTTTATTGCAAAAGTTCAGTCCACCTTTTGTTAAAAAATCTCTTCATGTTGTAGCCAGCTTTTCCGATTTCAGATTGGTCTTCATTAAATTTTTTGCAGTTGTCAAAAACCAGGTTGATGTCAGCGATGAAAGTCTCCAGGTTCAGGTAGCTGTAATCATTTGAAAAGTGACCGAGTGTTATGTTGTTTATTTTATTTACACATGGAAACCACAACTGTGATGGAACACCTACTGGTTGCTGGTGAGCTTTTCCTTGATGGTGGAGAAGTCCATGGGTCTCTTGATGACCTTTTTGTACCCAGGGACAGCTTTGTGGTTGACCGGCGTGAGAAAGGGCCACGCACACCGATGGGCCTCCAGCTCTGCCAGCAGCATGCTGAAAAACAAAACGTGAGACTTTGGTACAAAGTTTAAGGAATTTCCTGATGCACCAAGAGGGCATCTAAAGCTATTTTTAATGACAACCGCTGAGCCTTCTGTGTGTAGTAGGATGCATGTACATACTGGCACACCGCCAGCTCACTGCTGCTGTCCTTGGATGTTTTGGATTTTCTTGCTGGACTGTCATTCCTGGCCTGGGAACTGTCATCTCGTCTCCTCTTTTTGAACTCCTTGGTACCGCTCTTTGGCACGCTGCTGCTGCTGGCAGCCTCCTCTCTGGTGTCGCCCCTGGCCACAGATGGCTTACTGTTTTGTCTTTCCTCCCTGCATCTCTTCCCTTCTCCAGCTGTTGGGCTTCTTTGCTTCCCGCTGTGAGACGCTTCACCACTTCCCTGAATGACCGAGCCAGGAGAGACAAGGCAGCAGAGGTTCAAAATAAGTTCTGTCAAACTATAAAAGAATAATAAAACAAACAGGTTGAAGCATCTAGCTAAGATTACTCAATCACAGGTGTGTGTGTGTGTGTGTGTGTAAATGTTAGCCTAGAAATCTAGACAAACTGTAGCAACAGATTTTGTTCTGCAGGTCGGTCTAGCCACGCTCCATTGGAGCCTCAGCAGGTCTACCATTGGCTCGGCTAAGTTTAGGCTGGGCCAATCATAGCGCTCTATGTTTGTAGAGAGGTGTTGAGTGGGCTAATGACGATGGCCCAGGAACTCTGTCTTCTCTGTGAGCACTAGTGGTACTTTAGTACTTTATTTTGAAACTGTTCTTCTTCACTGCCCCAATGACTGATTTTTGTAGTGTTGAATACGCCATGTTGTTTGTTGCTCTGATTGGTCCTAGCGCTGTTCAATTCCATCCGCAGACAGTTTTAAAGATAACCATAGATTCTGCCCCTACAACTGAGTGCTCTGAGGGCGGTGGTCAGCCTATGTACTTACACAGGATGGCTTGCCAGGTCATGTTTACGTACCTTTGCAAGACAAAAAGGACAAAACCAGCCTCCATCAGGTACGGTGGGGATTTGGGGACTGTGGCAGTAAGTGTGGCAGCCTTTGTCACAGCCAGCACAAATTAAAAGCACTTCCTTGTTATCTTTCCTTCGACAGTGCAGGCAGCGCTGAAAACGGTTCAAATAAAAGTTTTAAAAATTAATACTTTGAAGCATCTGTGGTTTCACATTCACATCGGTGAACAGCATTTCACTGTAAGATGTGCTGATGTTTGCAGGCATACTGCTGCTTGTGGGTTCTTCTGACTGCTGCTAACAGAGCAAAAGTAAAGCATCTTTTAAGCCAAAAGAAAAAAAAATGTTAGATTTGGAGCCGCACAATCTGAAAATAATCTATCAAAACAATTAGAGAAACTACAATGTGTGAGACTGTACTACAATTATTCTGCAGGGACCAACATAAAAAATCTACCCAACTTTAAATGAATCCATGCATTCAAAGACATTAAACTCTTTTTCTTAATAAAATATTAAATCTTGTGTGCCACTAACCACTTTGATGATGGCTCGGTCCCAAGCGATGCTCTTCTGCAGCTGCTGAAAGCAGAGCGACAGCTGGGCCGAGCTGCGGACCTGATCCAGAGCTCTGTGCCACAGTTTTGTCCCTGCAGCCAGCTCCTGCTTGCTGCTGGAGGGACACAGACAATGAAACAAATTTTACTTTGAAGCTGGACAAAATACTTTAAAACAAACATCACTCATTAGATACCTTGGTTGAATGTTCCTCTCCAACTCTGAGAGCCTGCAGATCGCTACATCAAGAGGGTTGTTTGGTCGCCGAGTCAAAGGGACAGGAGACTCCCCCTGGTTAGATTCCCTCGGACTCAAAGAGGAGTGTTTGTGTTCATAATAGATCCAGTTCTCACGGTCTGACTGGGACTCACAGGGCATCCAACCCTGACGGAGATGCAGATGAAAATACATCTTTATTACTTTATTTTTGTTAGTTTCAAATCTATGAGCGAAATCAGCATGAGCTGCAGCGACTGCCTGTACCTTGACCTGTAGGTTGGCTGAGATGACCTTTTGCTCCAGAGCTTCAACCTGCCTCAGCAGGTTAATGTCCACCTCCATGGCTCGCTCTTCCACACACCAGCTCTCCACGTCCTCTCTGCTCAACTCCTTCATTTTCAGCTCCATCATATCAAATTCTGACTCCCACAGGCACAAAGAAATGAACAAACTAAGCCAGTAAAACCTTTTTGTTTGTTTAATGAAACAAACCAACAACCTTTGCCTCTGCTGAAGATCTCTGCCATATGCTCCGTGTGTTTTTGGATCTGTTCCTGCAGCACCCTCTCCCTGACGCCCCGGCTGTGGAGGGCCTTGACCAACGTCTGCAGGCTCTCTGTGTCGGATACTCTCCACCAGCCGCAGAGCATCTCTGCCAATGCACGTTATCACAAATTCAACATCCGCCTGTTTCAGCCATGATGATCACAGCCTGCATTCTGATGCTTTACTGGAGATGAAAACACGTATGATCATCTCACCCCCTGGAATAGGCAGAGCATGAGGGTAGTCCTGGGTCTTGGCTACTTCCACAGCGAGGATGGAGTCAGAGAGGAATGGTGTCTCACTTTTGAGGACGTTGTTACTCTCTTCTGAACAGAGGTTCCCGTTACCCTCTGCTTCCTGTTGGGACGGAGTCAGTGTAGGGGATAGAATAATGTGAGAGGTGTAAGCTGGAGCTTGTTGCCGTGTCAGTCTGCTCTGATGAATACCAGATTTTATTTTCAGAGTTACAGCTCTGACCTTCAGCTCTTGCTGGGTAGGTTCGCGGCCGAATGTGAAGCGGCTGGGATGAGGATCAGCACCTCCAAATCTGAGACCATGGTTCTCGACCGGAAAAGGGTGGCTTGCCACCTCCGGGTCGGGGGAGAGGTCCTACCTCAAGTGGAGGAGTTTAAGTCTTGTTCACGAGTGAGGGTAGGAGGGATCGGGAGATCGACAGGCGGATTGGTTCGGCGTCTGCAGTGATGCGGACGCTGAGCCGATCTGTCGTGGTGAAGAGGGAGCTGAGCCAGAAAGCCAGGCTCTCGATTTACCGGTCGATCTACGTCCCAATCCTCACCTATGGTCATGAGCTTTGGGTAATGACCGAAAGAACGAGATCGCGGATACAAGCGGCCGAAATGAGTTTCCTCCGTAGGGTGGCTGGGCTCAGCCTTAGAGATAGGGTGAGGAGCTCGGACATTCGGGAGGGACTCGGGAGTAGAACCACTGCTCCTCCGGATCGAAAGGAGTCAGTTGAGGTGGTTTGGGCATCTGGTCAGGATGCCTCCTGGACGCCTCCCCGGGGAGGTGTTTCGGGCATGTCCTGCCGGCAGGAGGCCCCCGGGTCGACCCAGGACACGTTGGAGAGGTTACATCTCCAATCTGGTCCGGGAACGCCTTGGGGTCCTGCTGGAGGAGCTGGTGGACAAGGCCGGGGAGAGGACGGCCTGGAGCTCCCTAATTGGGATGCTGCCCCCGCGACCCGGACCCGGATAAGCGGAGGAAGACGACGACGACGACGACGAGTTAAAAATCATGTTAGATGTAAAATAAGCAATAGCTGCTGACAGGATTAGGTATTTTAGGAGAAGCGATGCCATCACCAACCTGAAGGAGAAGTGATCGTATGCCATCAATCCCAGCTACACTGGTTTGGTTTGCTGTTGCTGGGGGATTAGTGAAGAGGGGATTGTTCCTCAGGGGTTGTGGAGAGGAGGAGCAAGTTGGAGAACTGGAGCTGGAGGTCACAGAGGACTCATCACAAGGAGAGCGAGGCAGGAGGCTAAACCACTCTCTGCATTTTTCAGTAAACATTTTAGACGGCTGCTCGTGATGAGAGATAGATGGAGGGCTGTGGGCTATCCAGTTACTGCAAGTGAACCAGCCGGCACCAAGTCCAGAAGATTCTGGAGAAACAGTTGTGTCCATCTGTGAGGTAGGATGAAAGGAATAAGACTCTGAGGGAGGAGCTTCAGTTGTTTTGGCTACTTCAAACACTTTTCTGAGCTGAGAAAAGGAGCTGGGATTGTGGAGGAAGAGATTATTTTTGTTTTGATCACATTCTGATATGTGAGCTACAGACACCTCTATCTTCCTCGCCTCTCGCTCCTGCTGCTCCTCTTTAACTCTGATCACCTCTGATCTTTCCTCCTCCTGGTGCTCAGAGCCTGAGAAACAGAAAAGTGAAGTCATCTCTTGAACAGTGGACAGAAAACCCTTTAACCTAGAAGCCAGTGTAGTTTTGCACCTTCACAGTTCTGCACTCCTTCAACAAATACACCCCCGCACTTTGGAAGGAGCCAGTAACGCCTCCTGAATCGATCCTCACCAATCGTCATGGAGCGCAGCGTGTAAGACGAGTCAAACAGCTTCTGTTGGATCTGACTTTGTAACTTTGAAAACAAAAATGACATCAAATCTGAGTCCAATTCATGAAGGAAACATAAAACGTGACTGTTTCACCTTGGAGGTTGTCTCTATCTGCTTCTCCAGTTCCCCGATGCTGCCTGAGCGAGCACCTTCATCCTGTAAAAATATTACTGTGAGGCCTGAACTTCACATGATCACAGAAACGCGTTTAATGAAGCTTCTGACTTTCTTTCTTTTCCTTACTGCCAAGTCTTCATCCTCCTCCTCATCTTCACTGTCCTCATCCTCAAACTCCTCTTCTTCGCTGTCCTTTTCTGTCCTCTGGCATTCATTTCTAAAAGTGGAGCCGTTGAAGGTGCGGTTGATCGCTCCTCTCACACAGCTGGCTCTTCTTGCTACACTCTTAGCATGGATGTTCTTTAGCCTTCAACAACAACAAAGACGTAAACAGAAAAAGTACATGTACATAATAGTTTTGATAAAAACAGATCTTTTATTTACTCACTCGCGCAGCTTTCCCTCGACTATCCACTTATTCTTCCTCAGGTTTGTCATGCAGTCGATGTTTTTGTCAATCTCACTGAAAAAGATCAGAGAATTTGTCTTTCTGAGTGCAGCTGGACCCGTGGTGGATGGTTTTAGGATGGGGTCGCAGCTCAAATCGGAGTGTAAAAGCTCTGAAGTGGTGAGTATCTGGTTGGATTCCCCAACATTGAACTTCTGCTGCATCTCATAACCCGGCTGTCTCGCGTGTCGCTCAGCACTCGTAGCATATTTAAAATGTCAAAACCCAGGAAGGCCCTGAAGTATTTCCAGTGCATCAGAGATGTAAGGTGTGTTTCAAAGTGTAAGAGGAATAAAAAATTTAAGACACAGGTTTGATGCAATCTCATGAAACTCCCCGTCAGGCTGTAATTTGTCATACTGGTTATCGTTTTAGTACAGCTGAAACCTGGTGTAAAGTCTGAGGCTGCAGCAGTACTTTACTCCAAGTCTCCTTGTGTGAAAACGACCATCAACTTTTATACAGCGGTATAAATTACTATAAATCATGGCATTTAAAATATTTTTGATGTAATTTTTCCATGTATTATTGTGAATATTTTCTGGATGTAAATGCAAAGTCCAGATGTTTCATGACCTACTGGAGATGGCATTCCTGCATGGGTGCAGCTTCATGGAGATCTCAGAGATTTGAATAGGAAAAGGTCCAGAGTAACACCTGCAGACGTTTGCATCATGAAAACATTTCAGGAATCTTTTAAATCTGTGAAAATTACTGTTTTTATTTGTCTCTAGACTGTACATTGGCCTAGTGGTAGAGTGTCCGCCCTGAGATCGGGAGATCAGGGGTTCGACTCCTGGTCGGGTCATTCCAAAGACTTTGAAAAAATGGGACCCAATGCCTCCCTGCTTGACACTCAGCATTAAGGGGTTGGATTGGGGGGTTAAACCACCAAATAGTTCCCGAGCGCGGCTGTGTCTGCAGCTCACCGCTCCCCCAGGGGATGGGTCAAATGCGGAGAATAAATTTCACCACACACCTGTGTGTGTGTGTGACGACTAAATGGGACTTTAATCTTTAATCTTTACAGTGCATGTTTTTCACTTCATTGTTGTGATACTTTTATTCTGTCATTTTTCTTTTTGCTGTGACAAAGCAAATTTCCTCCTTGTTGGACCATTTATTAATCTACCTACAACTATATTTCTAAAGTCTTCACTTTGAAATCCCATTTGTGGATCTTAGTTTATGCTAATTTCAAATCTTAAAACTGCAAAAGCAATTTTAGATCAAGTCTGAACTGAAATATCTACAAACTGCCTAGTAACACATTATTCCACAATTAGATAAACAAAAGAACAGAAATAACAAGATTAACAGAATTTATACATCAAATAAAACCAAACTAACGGACTCAGAATAAAGTCGGTGTACCTTATCACTGCCCTGCTGCAGCAGAGTTCATTAACCAAGAAGGCCAGCACAGCAGCCTTCTGTGATGGGCTGTGGGCCTGGAAAGCCTTTGTTTTGAGGCTAACAGCCAAACGAGCTAGCGCTGGGTCATCAGAGTGACTCTCCATGTAGATCTGCAGAATCTCAGACACGTTGTCCCGGTTGATCTCCACATTCGTCAAGTGGTCACCCAAGATGGTTTTGCACTAAACAACAACAACAACAAAAAAACCAATAAAAATAGAGAGTTACATGAAGCTGTAGAATAAAATAAGTTGTTCCGATATAATTCTGAAAATGTTTTTTATCTCCTGATGCTCAGGGCGCCCACAGCTCAGCCACGGTTAGCAACTGCAAATGGTTGTGAGATAAACTATTCCGGGAACTATTTAGTGCTATGAAGTTTATAGTTTCAAAAACTGGTCGTCGTTCACTCGAATTTACAAAAAAGATGCAACTACAGTCCAGTCAGTACTGAGGCCCATCTTACCAACAAAAAAGGGGGTTCTTTATACTAATTATGGCTTTTAGAAGTTGAATGTATAAACTACACCTAAAAGTGAATTTAGAGTAATTTTGAATTTTCCTTTAATATTAACACATTATTTTCCCTTTTGACATCAAGCATATAAAAATGAAAATAACATTTGAATTGTTTTCTTACATTTATGTATTTACCTGATTAACAAACCAGCATGCATTTATTATTGACCAACTGTACAGAAACAAAAGATGTAATGACAAGCCCTCACCTTGCACCCTGCAGGTATACCAGGGTCACACACAGCTGCAGACAGCATGCTCACCAGCAGGTCCTGCACCTCGTGCATACCGTCACCCACGTTAAGCAACCCTTGCTGAAGGTGGCTAATGGTCAGCGAGTCCGAATTAGAGTCCAATTTCAGAACTTTTCCAAAGTTGCGCAAGAACTGAAGCACCATGAGACAGTCAGAAAAAATCTTTCCGGGCAAGATCAGTCCAGGCATACAGGACAACTCTGGAAGAGGCTGCAGAGGAATAAGGTTTTTAAACATAAATGTATATGTACATGTTATCACAAAGATTTGAAAGGGGCATCATTTCTGTTTGTGACAGAGTCGGCCTTCTGGCAACATTTTAATCATTTACAGTTTAAAAAGGTAACTTTTCAATAAAAGAGCTGCTTTTTCTGGTTATGTTACCCGATTAGATTAGTAAGAAAAGCAACCACTAGATGGTGCTACAGGTGTTCGTGATGAATTATAGCAGCTTTCACATAAGCATGGCAACACAACCAGAATGATGTTTTATCCATAAGCATACATCTTGTTTTCTAACCTTGTGATCAGCTAAGCACATGTCCTCGTTGGGCTTCTTCAGCTCCTTTGCCTTTTCCAGTTCCAGCCTTCTGAGCTCCAGTTTCTTTTCCTTGTTTATCCTTTTCTTCTGGTTCCTCTCCTGTTTTAGGCGCTCTTTCTCCTATGATACATTAAAGCGTTTATATAACGACCAACAATAAAAGCAAGCACCCATAACTGCCTAGTTTTAAATAAACCCATTTTTTCATCGTTCATAATTTTCCAAATAACATGGTGGTATTGTGCCACGATCATTGTTGCACATCGATGTGAAATAATCAAAATGAATAAATAGTCAAACAACATGGACAAAAGGGTCAAAAGAAACAAACAAAAACAGTGATTACTCACCTCTGCTTTCCTCTGGGCCTCCACAGCTTTCACCAGCATCATGTGCTGCCTTCGCCGTTCCCGCTCCTTCCAAAAAGCAAATTCACAGTTTTTATCCTAATTTCCCACTGTGAATAACTTTTACATGCCATAGTGGTGAGTCTTAGACACGTAGCATGCAAGATTCATTAGATCGATGTTTTGGAACAGCAGACGATTACATATAAAGGCAGTGGAAGACATGAAGGGACTGATGCATTCAGACAACTTGAACCTAAAGTTAGAAAAAAGCCTTTTTAAGGTTAAAAACAATCAAACCACATGCAGACATTAAATTCATTTCAACACAAATTTCACAAACACATACTGAGCTGACAAGTTGGTCACAATCTGGTTTTATAATTATGCAAAGTACTTAAAATCAGATTAGAGAGGTGATGAATGTGATTCTGTAGCACCAATGAGCTGCAGCACACATGCATTCCCGTTATTCCAGCATGTTGTTAAACACACAAGCTCACCATCTCTAGCTTATGTCTCTCCAACTCCTGTTAGAAAAGTCAGTGTCGGGAAACATCACAAATACCAGAGCAAATGAGCTTAGAAACAAATGATGCAAACATGACCACATAGTCTTGAAGAGGTAAATAAGAATCCCACCTGTTGTTTCAGTAAGACAGCTTGAAGCCGACGAATCTCCTTCTCCTTTAAACAGGAATAATTCAATTAAAAGGCAACAGCAACACGAATAAAAAGCTTACTGAACAACATTGCTGCTGAACTTGGAGCCCTCGGAGAATTGCTGGTTAATGGAACGTGCAAATGGAAACATCATCGGTCATAAATGCACGTACAATAGAATGAAACCATCCTGCCTTTTTTCTAATTACTGAGATAAACGGAGGCAATCAGCGTCTCGCTCCCAACGACAAGCAGCAACAATAGTCAGAAAACCACATAATGACAGGAGCTACTATTGGTTTACTTGGCAGGAGAATATTTTATCAACATTGATGAAACAAAAGCATTTCTCACAGATCTCATCTGACCTCGTTTCTTTTCTGCGTTTCCAATAATTTAGCGTTGGCTGCTGCTTCTTTTCTCTTCCTCTTTTCCTGTTTAACAAAACAGAAACCAAAAAGAAAACGAGAAAAGACTGAATCCTAAAGTGTTTATGAAAAAGTTTGACTCATAAATACAAATACTTCATTACCTTAAATGGAAGTTTGGGTTTCTACACTTCACTGAGGTAATTGCCTACTAGCTATTATCTGTAATTTTTACTCCTCAGATTTAAAAAGTCCCTTTACTCCCATTGTATTTCCACTTGCCATTGTTTAAACAAAGGGGGAAAAACTGTCCAAATACAGATGAAACTCTAAATTAGATATGATTACAGTAAAAATGTCCATTTATGTCAGTAATTAAACTGAGACTGAGAAACCATCTAAAGGCCCAGGAACCCTTTTCAGGTGTTTTACATTAGTTAGCTGATTAGGGTGTGACACTCCGAGTCTAGAATATTTAACCTTTTCACAATATTCTAATTGTCTGATATTTTGAATGAGGGGTTCTATAAGCTGTAAGTCACAATCATCACAATTCTATCAAATAAAGTCTTGAAATGTTTGCTTTACATGGAATTAGCATCTCATGTATTAGTTTTACCTTTTTAATTACTGATATGAAAGAACTTTAACACCATATTCTCATTTTTCCAGTTGCACCTGTACATTTCTACGATTGTGGCTGGATGAACCTTTTGAAAGCATCTATTATTCTGACTCCCTATTTGTTTGTACCCGATACATCACACACGGCACAGTCCAGTCAGACATTCACACATTTTTCCAATTTTATCTTCTCAGATTCTTGCAGCTGCTGGATGTCGGTTTACATTGATAACACGCCTCTCAAGTTTGACGTTTTGCACCATTAAAACACTTATCAGCAACTAGTAATCCTACCTTCCACTCCATGAAACAAGTGTTTATGCTCAGTTGTCCACATATGGCACATAATTGTTTTTGCAATATAAAAATATTAGTTGCATATTTGTAACTGACAGTCTAGTGTTTACAAAACTCGTCAACATAATTGTGAATAATATTTTTCAGGTCTGGTAGAGCTGTACCGCTGCTTAAGCTTTTGTCCTTAAAACTGATATCTGGAGTTCTCACCCTTCCAGGAACCATGTATGGTTTTCGGGTTGTTGGGGCAGCAGCAGCTCAACAGGTTGAGCGTGATGTCTAGTAATCGGAAGGTTGCAGGTTTGATCCCGGCTCCGGACAGAGAATTCAGCTGTTGTGTCCTTGGGCAAGACACTTAACCCACCTTGCCTGCTGGTGGTGACCGGTGGCGCCTGTGCTCGGCAGCCTCGCCTCTGTCAGTGCGCCCCAGGGCAGCTGTGGCTACATCGTAGCTCATTACCATCAGTGTGTGAATGTGTGTGTGAATGGATGAATGCTACACTGTAGTGTAAAGCGCTTTGGAGTCCTTATTTTAGATTTTCATAAACGTGATAGTATTACCCTGTACGTTATATAATGCAGGCCCCTCGTCCTGTAGAGCCCCATGCAGTTGTACTTGAGCGCCGCTCAACATTAGCCAGTAGCATCTGCTTACATACAGATATCCATCAGAGAATGCACAGAAGTACCTAGACCGATGCAGAGTTAGCAACATTTCTTTTGAACAAGAAATAAGCAGCATACTGTAAGAATAGTAATTGTAAAACGATGTGTTTTGCTTAGTTGGCTGGCTAGAGATGTGCCTTCCCAAACCAGAGGTGTTGCTTCCATCGGTAATCATGGAAGCAGGAAGAGGGACCGACGGTGCAGTACATTTTTCTGCCTCGTGATGGCGCCCTCGGACAAAAGCTCCAGATTTCTGCTTTCAAGGCATCCTTTTATTTTCATAACTTTTATTTTTATACTTAAGAAGTTCTGAAACCAGTAAACGTTTTACTTTTGAGTCAAATGTTTGGTACATGACTCTTTTTGAACCCTAGTATCTACACTTCTGAGTGTTGAATGTGAATGTTTGACGCCCGACTGTAGGCAGGTTACAGACATTTCACCAATCAGAGGAACCTTAATGAGATAACAACTTCCTCTCAGCAGGAGGGGAGTATAAAAAATTACATCAGTAATCATAGCTCCAATGAAATCCTGTTTAGAGCTCCTCGCCAAGCGTGTCAGCTGAAATTTGATTCATAAATGCTGAAATCCCACAGAGCTCCTATTAACAAGCAAATGCAAAATAAATGTTTCACCTAACCGTGGTACCCCCCCCCCCCCCCCCCCCCCCCCCAACTGTATTTTGTATTAAGCTCCTCGGTGGGATGAGATTTTCATATTCAGTAGCTTTTTAGCAAGAAACCAATTAAACATTAATGTTTTCCCCCTCCTTTTAAATCCCATCAACAGCAGAGAGAAAGTGGTTGGAAATGTTTCTGCGGTGACTTTCGGGACACACCTCGAGAACTTGCTGCGCACGGAGTTCTTTCTCCATACGAATGTGCTGAATGCGCTTGATCTTCTCCTGGCGAAAGGATGAGAGTCAGATCAAATGAATTAACTGTTAAGCCACGCATGAAATGGGGCGGTGTAGGAGAGCAGAATGTGAGATGAAGCATCCAGGTCTGCACAGCCAGGGAAGATCAAACTTAGAACAAATATACAGCAACTTTTAAAAGATGTCCATCTGTACTCTAAACCTTTTCACCTGAAACTCCATGAATTCAATATCAGTTATGATCAATGTTAGAAGACGCATACTTGTTGCTTAAATATCTTCATTTCTTCCCTCTTTTTTCGCCTCTCCTCTGCAGCCATCATTGCTGTAAAACACAACGAAATGAGGTCTGAGCAGAAAACACCACCTGGTTTAGATGAAAGTCTGAAGCCAGCTTCTCACCTCGTCTCCTCTTTTCCTCCTTGGCTGCTCGGGCGATGGCTTGCTTCTCTAGTTTCCTCTTCATTTTTATCTGTGCTGCCTGGCGAGCTATTTCTGCAACATGATGGAACATGAAATTTGATATAGAACAGAAATTAATAAGACTCATAAATTTTAAAAGTTACTTTTAAAGGACTCACAGATTAAGCCTTAATGGTTTTCTTAAATGTTATTTCTTGTTAAAATGTGCAAAAGTGATACTGACAGTAAACACATAGGTAAGTTACATTATGTCATAGGTCCAAAACATGCAGCGTACTACAACAATATACCAGGAAGTGAAGCTTAAGAAAAAGAAGACTTTGCATATTGGTTACAGTCATTCCTATTGTTGAAGAAATTCACACAGTAGATCAGCCCTTTTAGGAATACTAGCAATAAGAATAAAAAAAGACAATATCAAAAATGGACACAAAAGGAAATGAGGTGCTTCTGACGCCGTTGGGCCTCGGTAACTAAAACGGGTTCCAAAAAGCCGGGGAGAGAATCGTGTTCCAGTTGGTCAAGACATGTTTACTATTTAGATCAAATATCTTGTGCATGATCAACTAATATCTGGAAAATCATAATAATAATAATAATAATAATGATGATGATTTTGTTAAAAATGCTAACATCTGCTGGCGTGACATTTGGAGCAATAAACGGACCTTGAGCCTCCAGTTTACGCAACAGCTTAGCATCATTAGCATCTTGCAGCCTATTTCCCGTAAGAGGACATCGGACTCCGGTATCATCAGGGATCGACTGGTGCTCAAGTTTTAGGCGATGGGTGCGCCTCCCATCCACGGAGGTGGTACTGGGAGCGACCTCGTCCTCAGCCAGCAAGAGCCACTGTAGACCCTGAGAGAATGAGGAACATAGTGAGTTCTACCAGAAGATGTTTTACAGTATCGGTCCTGAACTCCAGAGCTGAAATTAGGCCGTAGCTACACAATGTTTATGGGTCACACAAGCAGTCAGGATGTTGTTGTTTTAATGTTTAAAACACAAACAGCAGAACTTACCTCAGGTCCTTCTTGGGCTTCATAGAAGTCACCAACTTTAACTTTTGTGCTGAAGCTGAAGTTTTCACGTGAAATCTCAGTTATTCCATGTTCCATTAAATACTATGGAACAAAAGACAAATTAGCCATTAAAATCACTATTTAAAGTATTCAACCTGTGATAAAGTAAAGCTTGTGTGGTGATTTACCTTTGTGACATCAGAATACTGGCGGAGCTTCTTCCCACATGGACCAAGGTAAGCCACCTTCCCTTGGGGTCGACCTGCCACAGTCCTGATCCGGGTCTCTCTCTGCCACCTGGACAAAAACAAAACCAACCGAGTCTTTTCTAAAGAGCAGCTTCCAGTTTTGGGCTGTTACTGCAGACAGACAACTGGCTGAAGTTTCTGTGTTTCCTGAAAACCTTTCGAAGAAAAACATCCCAGGAGGATGAAAGGCTGCACTCATTTATGTGTGTACCTGCTGGGCTTCGTTTCGGTTTCCTGCCCACTAGATCATAAAACACGATTTGAAAAAGCTCGTGAAGAAAAAGTTAAAAAATATATAAAAATAAACTTTGTTATGTATAAAAACTGTCAAATCAGACTTTTAAGGAATAAACAAAACAAAACAAACAAAAACAAATAATCAAGGTATAACATGTAGGCACATCCTACCCAAACTTCAGAGGCAGGAGCAGAACTCCATCATCTGGGACCGCTCTTCTCCTCCCTGATCCTGGAAAACAACAGATACTATTTCTGGTTTTGTCTCTTAAAGCAGGAGCTGAACATCAAAGAGATGTTTATTTTCATCCAAGCACAGATCTTCATGTAAAGCCTAAATATTCCAGAAGTCATGTTCAGAATTAGCTCAGATCTTTGTTTTCCTTTTTCCTCATCAACAGAAATGCAGTTTCAGAGCAACAGAAAGCTTCTTAAGAGGTTTTATGATGAGAAGACCCGAATCGAGAGTAAATAAAACACTTCCATTTTCTGTCATACAAACCAAGTTGTGTTACTATTAAAAACATTATGGGTCAAATGATGACAGTGTGCACTGCTAGCACAAAACACACAGCTTAGAATAAAAAACTTCAGATCAACAGTAATTCATATCGTGTGTGTGTGTGTGTGTGTGTGTGTGTGTGTGTGTGTGTGTGTGTGTCTGTGTGTGTAAGATTGACTAACTTTGCTTTTATGGGCTTGTGCTGGCACTTTCTTCTGCAAATGAAGTTTTTAACAGGCAAATAAAGTGAATTTTGATTGATTAGATTAAAAATATATGATTTTTTAAAATGTTTTATGCCACATTATTCCTGACATAACTCACCTTTCCATTACTGAAGAAAACCCTGCTGGGAATCATTACAGCAATACAGCGTTGTCCAAATAAACTGGATTTATTTTATCTTTCCAGAAAGTGAAGTCTTACCTTTTGTTAGTGCAGATGGGGACGGGGTGTTGGGGCTGTTGAGGATCGGGTTGAGCGAGTTTATATTTGGTAGAAGGAGAGGCGTGGTAATCTGCTGGTTAAACAGGGAATGGTTGGAGGAAAAGTTGGAGGCAAAGACTGGTTTCCGAGGACTCCTGTCTGCATCCATCGCCGCACACTCCTTGGTGTGATCCTCAGAGTCGTCACTCTCCGGGTCGCTCTCAGAGTCTGCAGAGACAAGAGACGACTCGTTTCTTACAGCTCTCTTCAGCACAGATGTGTTAAAGCTGGTAGAAACAGTACTAGTTAACCTGAAAGGCTATTTCCAGACTCTTCAACTTCACCATCATCCTCATCGTAGGAGTCATCCGAGCCTTCACTGCTGTAACGTTCCCTCTCACTGCTCCTGGTTGAGTCTACAGGTTTTGTTAGGCTCCTTCCTCCATTAAGAACCACAGAGTCTCTCCCTGATCCAGGAACAAGCCCTGATGAAGCTGAGGATTTAAACGCAGAGCTGTAGGAGGTCTCCTTGGTGCCAGTGCTCAGGTTGATGGGCATGAGGCTGAGAGGGTAGGTAGATCCTAGGAGAGGCTCGCTGTTGGGAGATCTGCTCTGGCTGCGGGGTTTAGTGATGAGGGCCAGAGGTGCAACCTGAACAGGGCTGTGAGTTTCTCTATTCAGGCGTAGGTTAAAAACACCAAAAGTTGGTTAATGAGTCTGAAATGTAAACAAACGATTAAGAAGAAGTAGGTTACAACCTTTGGTTCTCCAGTCGCTCAGAGGAGGCCTGCTTCACACAATCCTTCACACGGAGTGGCTTAAGGTAAAAAAATCATTACAGTACATGTCACTCATAAGTGTGTGTGCTGTGAGGAGAGATATTAAAGGAGCAATAAGTGAAAAAGGGACAATGAAAAGCAACAATGGAGAAAAGGAGGCTGCTATAGAAAACTGCGAGACGGCAGCTGTCCGCTTGTATTTGTTGCTTTTGTCAGTCAAAACCAAACCCTGCGTTTACTCGTCACACGCATTAAAACCCTCGAGCTGCTCCACTATCCAGCTTTCTCACAAAGTCGTGTAAACGAAGAACAGTTCTGTTTCTTCATCACAAACATCCCAAAGCACAAGAGAACCTGAGTGTCAGCTTGTTTTGTAAAAACTAAACACATTGTCACTTCGACGCTCATGTAGGAGGACAAAAGTAAAACAGCGTTAGCGTTCCTTTTCAAAGATGAACAGAAAATAAATGGTTCTGTTTTAAAAGACAAGGTTAGTCATGTAGAATTAAAACTAAAACTCACCGTCGTCAGCTGAGGGTTGTTCGGGGGTGCAGAGCCGTCAGGTGGAAGGTCTCTGCTGCTCTCCCGTGTGTGTTTGTTTGGTTTTGTTAATATTTTGCCTCGGTGTAAGGGTTCCTTCGAGGCCGACAGCGTAGGACTTCTAGTTACAGAGCAGTGGGAGAGACTTTTGTGAGGGGAGCACAGATCAAGAGGCTTCAGAGAGGAGGAGGGACTCTGGTATGGAGAAGGTGAAGCAGAAAGGTGCTTGGTTGAATTTAGGGTTCGGATGTTTTTCAACGGAGTGCTGGAGGAAGTCTTAAAGGCTGAAGGACGAGTCTGTCTATGAGATCCTCCTGATGTTCTGATTACGCTGACGTGCTGCTGGTCCTCCTCCTCTGCAGCCCAGGATCTCTGAAGAGATGGTGACATCATGGATTGATCCAGGCCTGGAGGATGAGAAGAGGCCTGGAGTTGAAAGGAGGAAGTCACGGGGACACTGGGACAAAGATGATCTTGAGTAGTGCTTCTATGAGCAGCACGAGGTCTCTTCTTCTTCTCAGAAGTGTGTGTCAGCCGCTGAGTAGGAGGATGAAGGAAAACAAGGAGAAGACAGAATGTCATGTCAGCTCCTGCTGCGAGAGCCTCACACTGGCAGCTCTGGCAGCAAACACACACACAAGCTTTCCACCCACAGCTGGTTCTGACAAACCCAAAACTTCTACACACACTTATGATTTCACCCAAACTTGCTTCTCACCAGACTCTAAACACATTTATGCTTACACTGACTTCTCGTTTAACTCGAATCTCTTTTTCTGACTCAGAGTCGTCACTGCCTGGATCATCTTCATCGTCCGGTTCGCTGCTGGTTTCCTCCTCATCGCTGGAGCTTTCTGACCCCAACAGGCAGCCGCTGAGACCAGATGATTCTGATGGTCTTTTTACAGGCTTCTAGGCGAAAATAGAAATAAGAGTAAAAGTGCAATCAGAGCTTACAGAACAAAAACTAACCCTAACCCTAAAAACACTTACCTTTCCTTTTGTTTTTGGAATCGTCCGACGCGAGCATAAAGAACCACAGGGGCTCTTCTGACTCTGACCGGAGAGGAGTTTAGCTTTCTCCTTTTTGTCTTTTACTGGTAATGAACCGCTGTTCACGGTGGAGTTTAGAACAGGAGGGGGAACTCTCCCACTGTTCACGGTTCCATTCTCACCTGCAGCACAAACAAGCATCCATAATATCTTCAGATGGACACGTAAAGTCATGTCCAGCATCGTTAAATAATCAAGTGGAAGTTCTGTAAAAACCTGGTTTGTTCACTCAGTTATCTTTGTTACCGTTTCATAAGGAATACATTATAGTTCTTAAATTACTGTAGACTGCACCTGAGGTGTGTGCCTGTATCTCAACAGGATCAAAGCTCTTGAACGCTGACAGAAACAGAGGATGCAAAGCCAGAAACGGGGGGAAGAAGGCAGCGGATCCGCTGGTTTGAGCCTCAGCAGGTCGCCACCACTCTGAGTCAGCAGCAAAATGCAAGAATCCAATTAAATAACAGCAATAATAATTCAGAAATAAATTTTAATTTATATGTGGGTAACTGACTTAACACTCAGACTGCTTAAAATGATACGTAATACCTGTAGTTTAAGCTTTCTTACCTTGAAATGCACTGACTTGTGGGTGAGCAACCAGGGTGGGTAAGCCCAGACCCAGTCCTCCAAACTCAGAGTGACCTGAGCGCGATGTGTAGAGTCCATAAACTGGATTACCAAAAACATCTGAATGCTTATCTGCCGTCGTCTGCAGTGAATGACCTGAAACAAAAAACAAACAAACAAAAAGAGCGTTTCATACCAAATCTAGGCTGAGGTCTTGCCAAGACAGGAACCGTTCTGGCAGGTTTAACTGGGATTGCAGATTTGTTTACATACTGAAATAACCATTCTGGACAATAACAACAAGGTGTTTAATCTTTAAAATGCAAGTGAAGCTGTATACTTCATGTTGCAGTGCTGCTCTAAGTCACTCAGAGTTAAAAGCATCTTAATTCTCTCAACAGGATGATTTCATACAGCTGGAGGTGCCACAGCTGTAAATATGTACACCTGTGCATTTACACACATCAAACTCGCTTTTGGGGGAAAAACTAATAATTTCTTGGTCTTCGGTCTATAAGCTTGCCACGCCAGCTGGTGGATAAAAACATCTCTGAAATAACCATTTGTTTGACAGAGTTTAGTACAAAAGAGTGTGCATAGTGTGAGATAGAAGAAATAAATAATTCATGAATGCCAGTGGATTTATTTATTTAGATTTTTTTGGTGCATCTTATCATGGAGAAGGAGAAATATACAAACGGTGGTATGTAAATCAGCACATTATTTTGCGGTCAGAGGTAATCTGACTGCTCATGCATCACTGCTGCTCACTACATAATGGCTTCAGCCACAATTAGTATTCAGAGAAAACAGGAGATGCTGGTGGCTGCACACAGCGCGAGGCTGACAAGCATGTCAAATCACACAAGATAAGCTGCAGCTCAAAGAAAATATACAGCAGCATTGTTTTTATTTATGACATTAATTCCGTTTCGTTCCCATCTAACATGCCAAGATGAGAGGTAGAAGGTCTAAACCCGTCTGCAGGTTACACCCTACCTGACCGTTTCAGACGAAGTTGGTTTGTATCTTTAAGCATAGAGAAATGTATAAACTACAGAAACTAACTCCGTAGTGCCTGTGGGCAATAAATTAAAATTTTATCATTATTGAAATTTCAGACTCTTATCGTGATTATTTTTCCCATGTCAATAAATATGATAATAAAATTTTTAAAAGATGTGTTTAGTTTGGCAACACTCATGTCCCTTTAAGAAGCTGATCCACCTTGAGCCGACTCAAAACGTGACTCAAAATAATACACGTGACAGCCCCATCTAGTGGACAACTTTTGTTTCCGCGCATACCCGTAGTTATCGTCCATTTATCGTCATCGAGGATAAATCCTCAATATATCGTGATATTGATTTTAGGCCATATCGCCCAGCCCTACTGTGAGTAATCAGCAAATAGAAAAGTATTTATTCATGATTTTGTCTTTGAATTAGTGTAAATAATCTTATTTATACGTACCACAGACGGTGAGGGGGGATCTGCCTCCAGGACTACAAGCTGGACTCTGCGTGACATTGAACGTGTGAGGTGGAGCAGAGGAGGAGGCTGAAGATCCGTCATTTTCAAGTTTTCTAGACTCCATATCTGTAAAACACAATAAGAAACGGTAATGAAAAATACACAATGTTCTTTATTAAACCTACCACAATAAATTAGGAGAAATATGCACTTCGTACAACCTTTAACCCAACAATTCAGGAAAAGTTGAGCTGTGGAAGACGACAGCTCGGTCTGATCAGCATCTTTGAGAATATTAGACACACAAATCCCTCAATCAAGGTGTAGCAGAGGATGGTAGATGGAGGATTTAAGGTTTTTTGTTTTGTAGTTGCAGAAGAACGCGAAAGGTTAATCTGGAATCAAGCATTTCTGTTATATTCTTGCTTTTCTCTAATGGAAATAAGTTCTGATTGTTGGTTTTGACTCCAAGTTTTGCGGGAAAGTGAAGGTTTGCAACGTTGAACCTGACAGAGGGGACTTTTCAGAGTCTACTCTCACATTCGATGACACTTTGACTTCAGGAAGTTCATCCAGCACTTAAAAACATTAATTTATGTCAGAAGTATAAGAATGTTGAGGTGTGACCTTGAACGTTTACCTGGAACCACACTTTCACCCTGCATAAGAGGCTCTCTGTGAAAAAGCACTCGGCATTAAAAGCTGCTTCATCGTTCCTCTCAGCTTCGCTCTTTTCACAGAGGTTTATGGTCAAGTAGGAAGAAAACAAAGTGTGCTTTCCCAAACCAGCTGAAAGACGTTTTAAGGGCAGAAAGCTCCCATGAGGCTTTTCAGACAGTCAATAATCAACAATCCTGACATGGTGAGGCTGAGATGGACGCAGCACAACAGCACAGCTGACATTTCACAACCCCTGCATCACAACAGCAGTTGTTCTGTCACATCAACTGTAATCCAAAGCTGTTAATAAACACATCCAAGTGCCAACTAATCCTTGGTTTTTCTGCGTCAGCCTCTGCCTTTCATGCATCAGTGTAATCACATTTCTGACCTTCTTGCCTGCTGTGTAGATGCAAAAATACACCTGGGCTCATAATGCCAGGAAAACACTGTCAGAAACACAAAAATCAGCACATTTTACACTTCAATGGATTTTAGGAAGTCTGTCACATCAGAAAATAAAATTCTTTACATTCAGGGTTTCAGACAACACTCTCTAGCTGAGGCTAAGCTAGAAAATGGATATTACGCCTCAGTGTGTTTGCAGCAGAGTAGCACTGTTGGTTTGAGGATTGTTTTTCAAATCTAGAGATGGGATGAAGAGCAAAAAAACAGGACTTTCAAGTTTTACACTAGGAGTCCATCATGGCTACGTAATCATATACTTTTTATTTAATTGTTTTGCATTTCACAGCTTTGTGAGTTACAACTCCCAAACAAAATGGCCAATTCCTATTCCAACCCAAAGGTTTGCAGAAGTGGTGTATCACTGAAATCTCACGTTTACTTTGTAAATGCTGATAATATTCAAACAGAGAGGAAAGACACGCTGTGAACAAACCACACATTCAGCTGCGGAATAGTTTAGCTTAACATTAAATGAAGGGTAAAGGTGAACATTTGCATTTATTACAATAAAATCCAGCATGAATTTACTTAGGATAAAATTAGCTAAGAGAAACCAGAACCATATGTTGGAGCAAAGGTTACACATCTGACAAATTTAAATATTGTGCAGCTACGTAAATTACAGCAACATCAGTTTGTGGTACTTGAGGTGATCATCAATGAGAATCTTTATAGAAATGTAGATTATTTGATCTACTTTATTCTTAAGAGGGTGAAGATACAACGTCCCAGGTTGTCTCTACAGCTAAAGCTCATGATGATCAAACCGAGAGAATCTATGTACCGTAAACATGAAACCAGCTTTAACCCACTAGGATCAAGGTAAACATCACTATTACAGCATTTCCATTCCCAGCCCCCTTCTCCCTCCTCCACCCATCTGAAGAACACATAAATCTTGATGGGAAAAGGGACAGCGGCGTGCCGAATGAGGCACTAAAACAGATCATTGGCATCCCTTTCAAGGCATTAGAGACACCGTTCACATGTCCACCGTTTCACTGAGGCAGACGATGTCAGAGTCACACATATGTCCTAAATAAATGTCAGCCTGTGTTTGTTATAAAGTAAACAAAAGAAGAACCAGAACTATTCAAAAGAACAAGCTCAGCACTTGGATCAATGTGATGTTCAGACATCATCATAACGTTGTGCATCTCCAGGGGGGACGCAACGCTCCCTCCCCCACAAATACTTCCTTATTGTTCAGTCGACATGAATACAATATTCATTTTACTGCAGAAAGACAGGCAGTGCATAACAATGAGATCTACTAATGAAACCAAGCATCAAGCTGAAGCACATACATATTAAACTGGTGTCTCCATGTCATTTCCTCTTTTTTGTGTGTTGTTTGCTCTTTTTTTTTCTTTTTTCTTTGATTAAATCACAAATTTTCTTCTGAAGGGTTCAAGCTCTACTTCTGTGTAGTAAGAAGAGCCATTACCAAACCATTATTATTTCCATAAACAATAATTAAGAGCATTTCCTCCTCAGCATAGAAATCAAACTGTTACTAAAAGCCACGTAAAATATTTGCTTTCATGAGGAATCTCAAACTGATGTTTAAAACTAAGTCACAGATGAATAATGGAGGTCAAGCACTGTAAATGTAAGCAAACCAAACAATTTATTAGATTTAATAAAACAAATGATATGCAGAACATTATTACTTGCTTGCTTATGGCTTAAAACAGACATTAGACATAAAAATCAACTATTGCAAAATAGGAAATGAGACTTAAAGTTAAAATACATGTAAACAAACTCTTTTTTTATAAATACAAAATAAGATTTCACTAGAAATTTTAAAAAACAAAGCTTTTTTTGAATTTTAAATCATTAAACATAAAGTTTTTAATAATCTACCACATTTTACTGTACTTTTTAAATAATCATATCTTGTGAGTTTATATAGTCTTTATTGATAAATCTTCATTACAAAATGATAATACCAGAAGATGAATAACTGGGTATGTGTTGGTGAGTTTAGGAAGGTCCACTGGTGCAGACAGAGCTGATGGAGGAAACTCCCTAGCTGCCATTTTTATCCCCTAACTGGGACTCCGTCTGCCACTGAGCCATTCACAGCTTCTGAGTTAGAATATCAATGATTCTACGCAATTCTACGACTCAGCATTCACCTTGACGCCACCTCTAAACCCGTCTGAGTGCTGACAACTTCCCTGCAGATGTGAGAGGGTGCCAGCACAACTTTCTTTCAGCTAAGTGACAGACATGCTCTGCAGGAAAACCTTTTCGTAAGTGTTGATGCTATGAGAGTATATTTTTCATGCTTATTCAATGTTTCTCATTTATTGTATAGCTGACAAGCGTGCATGTGTGTGTGTTTAAATCAAGCACAAAAAGTGGCACGCATCACTCAGAGCTTTACTTTTTTCTTTAAGATTGGTTTTGAGAAATATGTAGAAGCATTCAGTGTCTAACCTGCAGTAGAAAACATCAGAACCTTCTCTAGAGCCTTACTGGGGGCTTGTGATGTGGAAACTAAGATAAAGCTCACAGAGAAAATCTGTAATCATTGGCAAAACATGATCAAGTTTGTGTAATTTCTGGAGATAACACATCAATGTTGCATTTTCCATCCAAGAAAATATGTTTAGTTTTCTGGGTTTTGTTAACAAAGGCAGTAGAAGAGTTGCTGTGCTGTAGGCCAATCAGAGGCCAGGTATTTCCAGAGCTGTAGAAAGAGAGTTGCGACGCGCTTTGAACTCGCCGACTCGCGGTCACGTGGTTCATGTTAATGAACTGACCTGAATTGGAATTTTTATTATGTGAAGTGCCTTGAGACGACTCTTGTCGTGATTTGGCGCTATATAAATAAACTTGAATTGAATTGAATGGAGCTCTCAATAGTTCCAAACATCCCAGTGCCGTAAGTCAGTTTGAACGGAGTGCGGTGGGACAAATCACAAAAACTGAATATTGTCACATTTCCCCTGGCTATTGTTGGTAATTATTAAATAATATTATATATTATGTCCTAATTCCTTCACAAAATAGCCTATTTATTTTTTCCGAGCTTTTGTAGGAAGACAGACACCCGTGACTGTTGTACATTACAGGAACACGACAGTCCTAACACAATGTAGAACACATTTAGACCACATACATTACTATATTATATTATATTTATATTTTTATGTGAAGACAGTACATGCATCTATAACCCAGTTTATCTGGCTTCTATAGCAACTAATTACAAAGAAAATTTCAGTAAAACTGTATGGTCAAACTCAGTAGATAAAAAAAGTGTTAACTATGAAAAAATGAACACCAAACTTGTACAACATGTATAATAGCATTTTTAATAAACCATTTTACCAACATTATGTTTAGTCATTACATATGCACAAATAAGCTGAATCATTAATTATGAGCAATGTACTCAAGACCTAATGAAACTTTTGAATAACTTTATTTTGATTATTATTAAAATAATTTGTCAGTGGGTTAAAATTCGAAATTACAAATTTTAGGGTTGGATAAAAATTTTAAATGTAATTTTACATCTCTATATTTTTGGTCTAGTTCAATATTTCTATATGTACAAAAATAGTATTTTAATAATACCTTTATAGGTTGAATATCTTACATGGTTGGCTGCGCTGCATATAGCAAACGGTCTGAGGGAGGAATCAGGATTACGGCTTACCCAAAGACGCAGAGAGAAGAAGAAAATGGTTGGCTCATGTCAGCAGGAGCAACCTCACCATGACCAGAAATCATAATAACAAAAAGCTGTGTGCAGTGAGTTTAATGTGCACTCTCAAATGTTTTCTATCAAGGCTCTACATGCTCTGCTCTCAACTGCACAAGTCTGCAATTAAACTGTTAAATGTGGCAGGAAATAAACTAATACACCACTCTACAGGCACATTTTGAGGAGGGACAGTTTACCAGGCACGTGCAGAGGGGGGTGCGGAGGGTGCTTGAGACCCTGCCCCTTTTGTCCGAAGTGCCCAAAGTGCCCTTTT